GAGAGTGTTAATCCCTTTGGTTCTTCAGCACTTCCAACAGTGTGAATCTTACTTCAAGTTTGTGTAGATGATTTACAAACACTGGCGAAATGACCAAATTTTCTGCACTTTTGGCACTGTTTATTACTAGCTGGACATTTCAATCTGGGATATGATGATGATGATGATTCACCACAATACTGGCATGGATGTGATGAAGAGTCTCGACTGTGTGATGATAATGGGCGATCATGAAATGATTTCAAACAGTTAACGAAAATATCAGATGACTGGCTTGTGTAGATGAGTGATGAGTGATGTTTGATACCAGTACCTTATTTCGCTGATAGCTAACCGACTGAATTTTGATGAAAACTATCTTTAACGAACAAACCTTTTCAATGAATGGTTGCAAATGTCCCTTTTAATGATTATCTCACTAATCCCAGTTCTGTCACCATGTCGTATTGTTTGTACAGGTTCAAAGGAACAAATGTGTTTCTAGAAAATAAGGTATGTTTTATTAGGCAGCCATGTTGCCACGGAAACTCCCCGTGCACAGTGATAGAATATAATATCAGCATGTGCTATAAATATTAACATAGGATATACCAAGGTATTGAGGTATTTACTGGAACCAAACAGATTTAAAGTGACTTTAGCCAATACTGTGACAATTATGTTGAAAGTAATTGACAGCTGATATATGTATATTGCATACAAATTCTGTTTTTTCTTGGAAAAGGTAACCCCTCGTGAAGGAATCCAACATAGCCAATATCATAAACTCAGCGTGATGCTTTATCACTTATATAACCTCCGATTCATGCATTATCACACACCTTAGTATCATGTTTTATCACTCACATAACCTCAGAAGTTGATTCATGCTCAGATTCATGCTTTATATGCTTCCAGAATTGTGTTTTGTCTCTCTCATACCCCCAGATTCATGTTCTATCTCTCTCATACCCCCAGATTCATGTTCTATCTCTATCATACCCCCAGATTCATGTTCTATCTCTCACATACCCACTAATTCATTTTTTATCTCTGTCATACCCCCAGGGCCCAGATTCATGTTCTATCTCTAACATACCCACAGATTCATGTTTTATCTCTAACATACCCACAGATTCATGTTTTATCTCTAACATACCCACAGATTCATGTTTTATCTCTAACATACCCACAGATTCATGTTTTATCTCTGTCATACCCTCAGGTCCCAGATTCATGTTTTATCTCTGTCATACCCTCAGGTCCCAGATTCATGTTTTATCTCTGTCATACCCTAAGATTAGTGCTTTATCCCTATCATAGCCTTGGCCTACATGAAGTAAAGTCAAATAACTGCTGTTATTTTCTATACAGTTATACCTAACCCAAACTGCTTGTTTGCTGCATGTGGTGGACAGATTCTGGTATCTAAACACAGTAACATTTAAATAATGGTTTTTGAGTCTTAGGGAATCAAATAAACAGGGGCATACATATGTTTTGGGGGGTGTTTAGCAAAAATGAGACCACCTGATGCACAAGCCGAGCACCACAGGTGTGAGCTTTCTAGGGGGGTCTGGGGTCATGCTCCCTCTGAGAAAGTTTTGAATCTAGAGTCCTTGAAATGCCCTTCCTGGATTTTGCAGAATTTTTATAGTCAGAAAACACTTACAACATGGAGTACTACGCATGGGAATTCATTTTATTTATTAAGAATTTTGCAAGAATGTACAAATTATGTGAATCTGTGAAAACTTATAAAAGTGATAATTACATCATTTACATGGACCTATATCTTCAATTTGTTGTTGTGGTGAATATATATCAATTAGCAAAGATATGAGTATGTCCTCATATTTTCATCAAGCGTCCGTGCTTAGTCAAGTGTGACCACTGATCGACAATTTTGTTAAGATTGATCACGTCCGTCAGGTCAAGCTCACACGCAAGAGTCAATAGTTGCCTGTCCAACCTCGTGGGTTTTCTCTGGGTCCACCGGTTTCCTCCCACTGCTAAAGACCCCTGCACAAGCGAATTATTGAAATAAAATTAAACCATATGTTAGTCCCGAAATGACCTAGTTTGTCTCGAGTGAACCTTAAACCCCATATCTCTCTCTCTCTCTCTCTCATTTGAAAAACTGAAGTGTATTGTGATATCTACGAAGGCCCATTAGTGCCAAACCCAAAAAAATATTAATCCGTTTGAACGAGTTAGTATCAGGTTTGAACGAATTGGTATCTGGTTTGAACGAATTAATTATCTCTTTTGAACAAATTAATTATCTCGTTAGTATCTCGTTTAAACGAGTTAGTATCTGATTTAAATTAATTAGTATCTCATTTGAACAAATTAATTATCTCGTTTGAACGAATTAATCATCTTGTTTGAACGAATTAATCATCTCCTTTGAACGAATTAATTATCGCGTTTGAACGAATTAATCATCTTGTTTGAACGAATTAATCATCTTGTTTGAACGAATTAATCATCTCGTTTGAATGAATTAATCATCTCGTTTGAACGAATTAGTATCTCGTTTGAACGAATTAGTATCTCGTTTGAACGAATTAGTATCTCGTTTGAACAAATTAATTATCTCGTTTAAACGAGTTAGTATCTCGTTTAAACGAGTTAGTATCTCGTTTGGGCGAATTAATTATCTCATTTGAACAAATTAATCATCTCGTTTGAACGAATTAAGATTTTCAATGTTACAGAAGCGTGGGAGGGACATGCAGAAATTGTGTATAAGTGAAGATAATGTTATTTAATACATAAGTTCTTTACTATTTCTAACGTTACCGTCAGTAGAAGGAACTACATTTATGAGAATGAGAATTAGTACAGAATATGTTGGAAGTTATCCACGTTTTTAAAAGCCGAATATGTTTAATGTTAGCGTGAATTAGCCACAACATCGTAGTGATGTCATTGTTTTATGACATGTATATGCTTAAACAGGCATTATGCAATGAGCTAAATCTGCCTATTGCAGGTCTTTGTTTAGGCCTTAAATGTTATATAAACTATTCATTAGACATTTATTAACATATTCAAGAAGATTAGAATGGTTCGGCCATTTAATAATTTAATTGAAAAATGGTAAAGCAGGGCTAAACCTCGAACAACCAGTACGGTGGTTACATTCCGTGCACACATCTTGTCAAACCTTCAAAGGCTGATATCGTCGCTCAGAATAAAGTAATTTAATGAAAATTTCAATATATTCCTTTTGCATTATCTATTTTTGAACTATTATAGCAAGAACGACCAGCTCTTTATCTAAATCTTACATAAAGTATCATTAATAATGTAGTTCTCTCTACTGACGCTAACGCTAGAATTAGTAAAGAACCTACGTGTATTAAATCATATTATCTTTATTTGAAACACAATTTCTGCATGTCCCTTCCATGCTTCTGTACAATCGAAATTTTAATTCGTTCAAACGAGATAATTAATTCATTCAAACAAGATACTAACTTGTTCAAACAAGATAATTAATTCGTTCAAACGAAATGAAATGTTGTTTAATGGCACGTCAGCTCCATCCGGGCTATATTGCGCCAAAAATATGGTGAATTTAATGAGACAAATTAAAACAACAGGGATGAATTTATATATGTAAATAAAAACAAATATCACAGAAAATATAATTAAAAATAAATATATCAATTCCTTTACATATATAAATATTCAAAACGCAATATATGATAAATATATACAATTAAAATTTTGAATAAAAGTTTGTCTCTTTTAAAAATGCTAGCAATTTATCATAAAGCTCCGGCTGAACAAACAAGATATTTATTCGTTAAATTGAGATAATTAAATTGTTCAAATGAGATACCAATTCGTTCAAATGAGATAGTAACTCGGTCAAACGTGATAATTAATTCATTCAAACAAGATAATTAATTCGTTCAAACGAGATACTAACTTGTTCAAACGAGATAATTAATTCGTTCAAACGAGATACTAACTCGTTCAAACGAGATACTAACTCGTTCAAACGAGATAATTAATTTGTTCAAACGACAAAATTAATTTGTTCAATCGAGATACCAATTCATTCAATCGAGAAACTAATTTGTACAAACGAGATACTAACTCATTCAAACGGATTAATATTTTTGTTTGTTTGGTACTAATGGGCCTTCGTAAATATCTAATCAAACCAATGAAATGTATACATATATTAAGTATTTGGGATTTTTCCCTTCTATTTTGGCATTATTTGTTTAGCTCATTAATTCATTTAGTCGCTGATACATAATTTTGAGATTGATCTTTTTTTTTCCTGACAAAAATATGCTACGATTTTAAATTAAAAATGACAATTTGGCATAAAGAATGGAATATTATCAAATATCTATATAACTTATTATGATGCATGTTGAAATAATGGTGGATTTGAGTGGGTTTAGGTAAATCGTACTACCCCAATAACATAACAAATATCCCAGACACTAGTATCAGTCCAGACAATAAGATATATAAATAGGCTATTATTAAAAGATTATTATGCATTTACAGTTAAAATCATAATAAAAATCTACCTTTTGAAAAACAAAAATACAAACAAACCATAGACAATTCCATTAAAATAATGAAGCAGGCAGCATAAAAAAATAACAGAAAGTTAGACTATCTGGGGTGCTAAGAAAGAAGTCTTTGTATTATGTCTATATAAACAGATTCATTATCTTGCGATTTTCGTTTTTAATTCGTATCAAAATAAACAACTGATTGTTATTAGTTGTTACGGTCCACGATATACATCTAAAATATTCCTATAAAAATGTCTTTACATATTTATGGAAATGTGGTTACTAATTATTGACTTATAAAAGTTAAAAAAAAAAACCCCAACAATTTTTTGCATTAATCCACATTTCGGCATTGAAGTTCATAACTTATAGTCTGTTATAGCTTTAATCCGTATAGCTTAATATCCTTACGGACAAAGAAAGATGTGGTACTATGTATAAATACGTCAATAAACTATAGTAGATTACCTGTTTTATAATTGTCCAGGATATGTCTCCGTGGATGCCATGTAGAATTCCAGCAAGACTGAGAATCGCGGGAATACTGATTGCTACAGGATCACATGACACATACCACGTGTTCTGATTTCATCAAAGTGCAATCCGTACGAAAGCAGTCACCTTCAATACCAATCTTTCAATCATTCAATATAAACTAAATATCACAAACGTCAGGTAATCAAACCTTTTACTTTTTAGGTTGTTTTTGAAAGTAAAAATACTACTTGTGTTTTGGTAACCTTTTCTCTGGTCAAAGATAACCAAACTTATTTTCAGAAAGTAGACTAACCCATTAATGATTAACACACAGACCACCGAACATTATCAGTATGATGCCGCATAGTATACTGTTTCCTGCTTACTTGATATGCAGACAAATTAAAGTACGCATCGACCAAATAATACATCCTGGTTACTGTCTGGGTGTCGACCTGCCTTTTCTAGTGGCACATATATATTAACTTCCCTATCTCTAAATTATTCACTTTCTCTACAAATTCCCACGTTTTTTTTTACTACAAGTCATAGAATAGTGTTATCCTGGCTGAGGAGAAATAACATTATTACTGTGTATCAAATCTCACTCTCCTTGGATTTATTCTATTCTAGATAAAACATTTGGTTCCCTGATACCAGAAAAAGGCTACTGACTATTGCTATCGATATGGCACGTGTCTAAGCATTACATCAAATCCTTTCAAAGTAAACGGTATATTTGCTGCCAACCCATCTGGTTCTGAAATAATCAAAGACTAACTGTATCTCAGCTTAAATTTTACACCATTTAGTACCCCACTACTCAATTTATTAATTGATATTTCTGTAAATTATTGATATATAGGAAAAACTTGGCTGTGATATCACCCATGGTGGAAGTGGACATTAAGCTTCAAGGAAGGAAGGAATGAACAAACTTACTTAATCGATGGGATGTCCTTGATATCTTAGTCCTGAAAACAATTTGTGGGTTCTCCTATGTCAGACATTTTATTTCCCCATTCTACACACAGGGAACTATCTACTCTACTTCAAGAATAGATCTCTGCCCTAAATGGCTGCCATATCCAACAATTGGTATACTGATTTGAAATATACTTAGTGTTTTCGACTAAAATCGTTGATTTAAAGGGACAATAACACTCTTGCTGGCTTGTCGACAGCTCCAGAAAATAAAAAATAGCCTTATTCTAAGTACTAGATGTGTTAGTGTCCTACCTGTTGTGTAAATTATCCATTAAATCCTATTTTACTTGTGGAAAGGGTTCAAAAATATTTTTAAATCCAAGTCACATTTGAAAAGCTTTACGTCAGACTTTTCAAATCATTTAGTTGAATTTTTCCAATATTTTAAATTAGATGTGTTAAGATGAAATTTGTATCCTTGTTTCGCAAATAGTGTAAATGTATGTAATGCCAAAGTTGTGGATACGCTAGAAGTCACAATTTTGATCTGATTTTGATGAAACCTGATATGTATGTTTATAATTCAAAGATCTTGGTTCCTGTCGATATTTGCACATATCGGACGGTAACTTCCTGGATTATGGCCCATGATTGTACGAAAAATCACGTTTTTAGCTAATTAAAATTATACTCTTCAAAAAAAGTAGGGGATATTTAGAAACAATACAAAACTGCAGAAATTCACTGCTGTTTTTATTAGAGGTAGCCAGTGTATGTTAATAACAGGGCAATTGCCTACACATGAACATAAACAGTTCATATGGGCGGTTTATCTGACGGCCCCATTTCACTGTCAAAAGTGAAAATGGACGTTTTGGATTTTTGTCTTAATAATGAGAAATTGCTCCACCAATCCTCAGACATTCAACAATTCGTCAAGGCATGCTCCTAATCAACTGTCCAATCACGATTTGGGGCAATCTGACCCACTCCACTTGCAGTGCCACGGCCAATTCTTGCAGTGTTGCCGATCAAATTAAACGGCTGCCGAACACGTCTGCCGATCAGATTAAACGTAACACACTAAAGCAAAGATACGCTAAACAGTAAATCTTATGCAAGAACCAATAGGAATTCAAACATGGATAGGATAAACCAGCAAGCGGCAGTTTTCATCAACCCTTCCTTGAAGTGCCAAATTTGACAATGAACCCCTTTCAATGTGTATGGCGCTATTGCGTGTTGCACATGCAGCTCAGTGGTTCTGTTGGGGTGATAAGTTCTGTGAACATACTCTTAAAGCATGTCAAGTGTTCATGACTATTTATCATATCACAACCTTCATAGGTATTTGCATTTCAATATCCCCTAGAGTATATTATAGGCTGTCAACTAAAGTGGTTGATCTATTAAGTTTCTTCTAACTATTGTTTTAAATGCCTTAAGACTTAAATTAATTATATGTTTATGTCAACACAGTAACTAATTTATATAAAAAGATAAATGTATTTAAGATGATTCATTAGTTGGACTTGGAGAGACCTGCTTAGGGAACCTATAATATACTAGTTGGAGGTCTGATTTATAGGAAATTGCAAGTTGTTAAATTGTTGCTGTTAATTATTTGCTCCTGTAATAAAGTGTTGAAGATCCATTCCAAGAATCTGTACTCATTTCTGATACAGGGCTGGGGCCATTACATTGCCAATGTAATTAATTACATTACCATTATTTTTTAAATGTAATCCTTACAATTACTTTCTCATTTTTAGCAATGTAATTAATTACCATTACCCATTACATTGAAAGTAATTAATAACCATTACTTTATGACTATATAAATAAAACCAAAGTTCATAGAAATTAAAAAGACAACCTTATTTCCTGCGCCTACAAAATCAAATTCAAAATAATCCTTGATTCACATTAATAGATATTTCTGTATGACTTGTTATTTCTATAAATTATAACACCAAGGCAAATTTTCAAGTGAGGGGCGGTGTTGACAAAAACTTGAGGTCTAAGTTTGATTATGAGAGCATTTTCAGCTCTGGGTAAGCAAAGCGATAAGCAATTCGATTGGTCGAGACTTTGGAGCTTGATTCTAATTGAGTGATAGTGGTGAAACTTTGTGTATAGTTTTATTACATCAGTATCTTAACAACATTCAATGCTGAGCATTTTCTGCTTAGGCAAAGTAGAGACTTCAGTCTGATTGATTGAGACGTTGGAACACAATAACTCTCCTTCTAATTGAGGTAGAATGTTCAAACTTGGTGTAAGTGTCTATTAGGCGAATGCCTTGACATAGTTCGTTCATGTGCATTTTCCACTAAGGCTATAAGCAGAGATAAGCAATTTGATTGGTTGAGACTTTAGAACACGATAACTTAGGTTCCAATTGGGTGAGAGCGATGAATATCTGAGTATAGATTCATTATATCAATACATAAGCAATTTGATAGGTCAAGACTTTGGAACATAACAATCTGCTTTTAATTGAGGTATAGATGTTCATTAGGCAAATGTATTGACTGAGTTCAATGATTAATATATCCCATTAAAGCTAAGCAGAGCCTCGCAATTTCTTTGGTCGATGCTTTGGGACAAGATAACTTTGATTCTAACTGATAGAAATTGATGAAACTTAGTGTATAGTTTCACTCACTACCAAGCACTCCAAAACCTGAGTTTGATAGTGGGCATTTTATGCTTAGACTAATCATAGATAATGTGTTTGATTTCTCGATACTTTTTAAAAAGATAAATGTGCAATTAATTAATATGTGTCATCTGTTTTGTTTTGTTTTTTATTACGGCGGGGGACATCAGCCTGACTCTTGGCTTGTTATAATTTGCTAAAAATGATATAAATCTTTTTTTTATAATGAATTGGATTTTATGTCAGATACACTTAATTTACTTCTTTGGTACAATAAAACTTGAGGCCAGTTATATTGGAAATATTTATATGTAATTGAAATGTAATTGACCATTACATGATTTTTGGAAGGTAATTAATTATATTTCCATTCATCATTACTTTTATCATCTTCCATTACTCATTACATGCCCATTACTTATAAAATGTAATGATTACATTCCATCACCATTACAATTACCCCAGCCCTGTTCTGATACTTAAGAGAATACACGTCGACAAACTACATTCCCTGAAAAGCTAACAGTGTTCTGTTTAGCAAATTTGATAAGGATCTAGGATTGAAATCTGTTGAAACCTATAGCCTCTATCCCATTCACATGGTTTTCGGAAACAGGGGTATAGAGAGAGGAGAGAAATGGGGTTTAACGGCCACTCGACACAAACCGGTCATTTCGGGACTAACATATGGTTCAGTTTTATTTCCATAATTTACTTGAGCGTAGGGGTCTTTAGCAGTGGGAGGAAACCGGAGGGCCCGGAGAAAACCACGAAGTTGGACAGGCGACTCTACTCCTTGTCACGCACAACCGGGGAATCGAAACCACGCCAGTTGACTCAATGACAGACTTTATGATACAGCGCGCACATGCTAACCATTCAGCCATCCAACCCCCCAAACGGGGGTATAACTCAGGAACAGAAGGCTGCAGATTGAGAATATTGATAGGGATCGATGATCCCAATACTTCAAGCCGAATATGAAAAAGATCCATTAAAAAGATAAAATGAAGTTTAACGTCCTACTGTTCTGCTGCGACTTGGCTAATGAAGACGGGCATACGCCATTAAGTGTGCTATGAGGGAAATTTTCCCCGGACAGCGGTACTCTGGCCTACTCATCTATTGAATTCCAACTGCCAAAGGATCTTTTATGTGCACGTGTGTACATAGGACCTCAGTTTTTCATACCATCTGAATGACTATGGTATACATTGTCCCTTGCTAGGCTTCTTGTCATGCACAGCTGACAAAGGGGAACCCCGCTTGAAAATTCAGATGAAATTTCTAGAAAGGCCAACACTGGGATCGCACACAGGACCTCCAGGTTAGTGAGCTAATGTTTAACGCACTGAGCCACCGCAGCTCCCATCCATATAGCCTTTATCGCATTCACAAGGTTTTTTGGAAACAGGGGCATAACTTGATCATTGCTGAAGTTAAAAGATCTTTGAGAGACGGGTTTCGGAAATGAAATGAAATGGGGTTTAATGTCCTACTGTTCTGCTCCTATACTGGGCTAATGAAGATGGGCATACGCCATACAGTGTGCTATGAGGGAAATTTTGCCTGGGCAGCGGCACTATCGCCTACTCTTATATCAAATTCCAACTGCCAAGGGATCTTTTACGTGCATTCCAATGTATACACGGGACCTCGGTTTTTCGTCTCATCCGGAGGACTAGACAGCTGTCCTTGTCAGGCCCTCCG